CTCTCTCTCTCTCTGTCTCTCTCATGCCTCCTGTTCTCTCTATAGCACTGTGCAATTCCAGTTGCCATATTCCTGCACAACGCCACACCGCCACCACACCCTTGTTCATATCCTCGTTCGGCGCACCGTCGTCGTCTCGTGCATATGCACGTCGAAAAGTTTTTACGCTATTTACATCCCGACTTACGCCCCTCTCGACGTCAACGTCGCGCGTCGCCGTCGTCGTCGTCGTCGTCGTCGTCGTTGTCGTCGTCGTTGTCGCTTGTGCAAACAAAAAAATATGGCCCCGGGGCGCGCTGTGTTGCAAGTGTCACAACTGCATTTTGCTGCACGCGTATGTCCGGCGATGAAAGTTCACTGGCAAATCCTCGAAAATGCCGAGAGCGCGAATGCGGGGCGGAGTATTTTCCTTGCTTTAATATGCACACATATATGCATCTTTGCAGCGCGCGCGCGGCGAATCTTGTACATACGGGACAATTTTAATGGTAATTTACTTTAAAAAGGTGACACAGGTAAAAAGTATAGTATTATGTATGTATATAATTTTTGTATAATTAACACATTCTCCGCACATTTCTTCCGTTTGCTTTTTTTTCTCTACTCGGCACGTATAGATACGTATTTCTCGATTTCGTGATCGCTGAAAATATTTAATGTGCGAAATTCTCGGAAACGGAAAACTCGAAAAGCGTCCGGTTTTTAGGATTACATGACAGCAAAACGCCAGATCGACTGGTCCATACGTCAACGTGTCGGGAACTTTTTATTACGCGGTGCGCGCAACGCGCGCGCCTTACAGTGTCAGTATATTCCCGTTAAAACGCGGGAACAACAAAAAGAATGTCACCGCGACGTGATTCGGCAATTTTAACAGCGAATTTTATACGAGACTCTCCATTAGCGGAGCTCATCAACAAATATCGATTAATGATAAACGCATCCACGACGTGTAAAATGTGGCGAGATTTCGTCGAGTCACGCGTAATTTTTAACGACGCGGAGTCACTTGGAGTTTACCAGCAAATGATTTTAGTTCGACGATCAAATCGGAAGCGTCAATAAGGTTGAGAGTGTGATGCATACTATTTAAAATATAACTGTAAATTATAATTATACAATTGTTAAATTAAAATGTAATATATGACGCATACCTTTGTAATTAAAATAAAAGCTCGACGCAGAGAAACTGTTTTGGGTAGAAATTTAATTAATAACCAA